TTTTTTGACGGTTGGAAAAGAGAGACTGGTTTTCTCAGTAATTTATTTGTATCTCTTCTCTGTATATACCTTTTGTATATCATGAATTTAGGGTCACGTACATTTCAGTTGGATTTATCTTGAGATAGAGATAGAGATAGAGATAACTAGATAGAGATGAGATCGACATATCTCGATCACGAGGACAGAGATCTAGACTCAGATCGAATGACTTATCTGATATCAGATTCTCCCTACACCGTAGACTTCGTAAATAAGTTGAGGCTGTGCCAGGTCACAGGGAGCACATAAGTACCGGGATAGCTTTATCTCAATATCAGAATATCAGATTCAGTATCTTTGCCAAAGTACCCACCTCATGATGTTGAGATCGCCAGGCACGACCTTCTGACCGATTGGCTGATGATTACGTCAGCGGCTGACTCAAAATCTGGTTTCCGTACACCATCTATACCCCGTTTCGCGTATTTGGAGTAATGACCGTGTTATTATTTCAATTAGACCGTGCTACGACATATTTAGATTGTACTGTATATATATTACTACCTTCTATCTCTGTACACAAATAATATCATGATTTCTCAGTGGGGAAGAATCGGAGCAAGTCCGCCCTATCTCCAAATCTTCTTCGGAGACTCGGTCCCGGGATGCTCCTCATGAGTTATTTTAGTCCCCTCACGAGTGTGGGGGAATGACACATACCACATGGATTTATAATTATGGAGCTTCTAGAATTGCGAGAACTGTTTCATATTCAAAGTCAGATCCTGCGAGGTATTACCTATACCTGCAGTTATCTAAATACCCACCGAGTTAATAGGCCATTGAGACATATAAAATACAACCCCCTGAGAGACCTATCATGCAACGATCCTAGCTGCCAGAAAGGTCTCCACAGTGCGTCTTTTTTTCGTCGGCGTTGTATGACACACTGTTTGTAATCGGCGCGTGCAGCCTGTCGGAGGCAGGGAATGTGTTTGAGATTTCCATCAGGTGTTTATGTCCGTACGTTTGTGTTCCTATAATAATCAAGCATAGTCCCACTGGCGATATACTGGCATGTGACCATAAAAACGAGAAAGATACGGCATGTTCTCCCTCGGTATCTTGTGCGCCGAGGATATGATAGGGGCAGCGAGATAGAATATAAGAATGAAAGACAATACCAGCTTACTCCGTACACCTTACAGCTGTATACTATTTTTTCTTCTGCTTAGCAAACGACGCGCGCTGATTCCCCCGAACCAACCCCACCCCCTCACTCCAGTCCGGTGAACGCAAGCAGGAATATCCCGTTTCGGTGATTCCGGGGAATACCTTTGTACCACCTGGGGTATTTTTGATTATATAATTTCACCATGACTTCGCTCCAGATTGCAAGGGAGCGTCTTTCCTCTCTAACATCACACATCATGGGCTCATCCAATCCATCAGTATTTACGGCGGCTCTTGTCGCTGCCGCACCCGAGGATCCCTTGTTTGGTCTTATGAAGGCCTTTCGAGAAGACCCCTCACCTAACAAGGTCGATCTGGGTATTGGTGCCTACCGTGACGATAACGCAAAGCCCTGGGTTCTCCCGGTCGTCAAGAAGGTACTATCTATCTACATCTATATATCTATACTTCTGTCCCCGCAGTGATCTGACATACTTCGACAGGCCGATGACGCTATCCACAACGATCCTACTCTCAACCACGAATATCTCTCCATCGGTGGTCTCGCCGACTTCACCTCTGCAGCTCAGAAACTCATCGTCGGCGCAGACAGCCCTGCAATTCGTGAAAACCGAGTATGTAGCTCTTTACTCCAATATTTTCCAAACTCCAAACTAACCCCGCCCTAGATTTGCACGTTGCAGACCATCTCTGGCACCGGCGCCGTCCATCTAGGCGGCCTCTTCCTCGCCAGGTTCCACCCCCACAAGCCCACAGTCTACCTCTCAAACCCAACATGGGCGAACCACAACCAAATCTTCACAAACGTCGGCCTACCGCTCGCCCACTACCCCTACTTCGACGCCAAGACAAAAGGCCTTGACTTCACCGGCATGATCGCAGCACTGGAAGAAGCACCCCACGGCTCCGTAGTCGTTCTACACGCCTGCGCGCACAACCCAACAGGTGTCGACCCCACCCAAGAACAATGGAAGCAGATCGCCGCGGTCATGCGCTCGCGTTCGCACTTCCCCTTCTTCGACACCGCCTACCAAGGCTTCGCATCCGGCGATTTGGTCCGCGACTCCTGGTCCATCCGCTACTTCGTCGAGCAAGGCTTTGAGCTGTGCGTCGCGCAGTCCTTCGCCAAGAACTTCGGTCTCTACGGCGAGCGCACCGGCGCCTTCCACTTCGTCTCCGCGCCCGGTCCGGACGCCGCGGCTGCCTCCTCTCACATCGCCTCCCAGCTGGCCATCCTGCAGCGCTCGGAGATCTCAAACCCTCCTGCTTACGGTGCGCGCATTGCTAGTCGCGTGCTCAATGACCCTGTTCTATTTAAGGAGTGGGAGGCAGATCTGCGCACGATGAGTGGGCGGATTCTGGATATGAGACAAGGGTTACGGGATCGTCTTGAGAAGCTTGGTACGCCTGGTTCGTGGGATCATATTACTTCGCAGATTGGGATGTTCAGTTTCACAGGTCTCTCTGTGGAGCAGGTCTTAACGTTGCGCTCGAAGTGGCACATCTACATGGTATGTTTTTCTCCTTCCTTTCCTAGTGTTACGTCATCTGGAATCGCAATTTCTAACTCTTCTTCTACTCGCAGACAAAGAACGGCCGCATCTCAATGGCCGGCTTGAACTCGAATAACATCGACTACTTCGCGGAGGCGGTTGATAGTGTTGTTCGCGAGTCTGCTTTGTGATACTTCCCTCATACCCCTGATACCCCGGTCTTGACATAGTGGAAACACTCGAGGAGACTTGGTCTGGCGTTTTTCTTTAATTCGTTCCTTTCTGAACGTGAGCTTTTGCTTTAGAGTTCCGAAGGACTTTCATTATGCATCAATTTACCATAGTACTCTGGACTTCGGTCTTGATTTGCATTTCTCGTTCCTTGCGTTATCATATCCATCATTTAAATGATAGATATAGCATGCGGCATTGGATTGTTATACAAAGTAGGGTTATTTTATCCAATGGTCTGTGCATTACGCTAGTCCGCGGATGAATCTCGATTCATTTAGCTAGACCGGGCCGTCAACAGTAAGGTCTTTGGAAAGTATACACTCAACAGCGAGACAGACACAATATGAGAGATCTTGAGATAAAATGCTACACTTCAATGAAATAGACATAATGGTATGTATGGTATAAAACAGCTCTCCACGAAAGCTTCCGACAATTCCTTCAGTAGCACCAGACTAGAAGACCAAATCCCAGACCACAAGCCAGGTACACAGCCCGACAGTACCCCAGAAAACAGCCTGAGCCGTACTCCGTCGCTCGGTAGCACGCTTCAACTCCCGATTTCCCTGCCCGACATTCGTATGCGTCGTATCCACATCCGCGACAAGCTGGGAAATATGCTCCTCCTGCGTAGCAAGATGCGAGACAAGCGTTTCCTGCAAAGAGGAGATCTCCAGGAGAGATTTCTCGGCGTTTCTAAAGAGGAAATGGTTAGCATTATTTTAGCAAAAACCCAGCATAACTTGTAAGAAAAGGAAAAGGAAAAAGAAACATACTGGACCTTCCCCAACGTATCCTCATAATGCCTAAGCATAGAATCATTCTCCTCCGCAAAAAGCTGCAACTGCTCCGGCGAAAGCTGCGCCTCGATCCGCGCCGTGTCGGCCTCACTCAGAACCGCCGCATCAGGCGCCTGGAACGTAGGATCGAACGAACCCGCGCCCCGACCTCCAGCTCCAGCTCCAGTCCTCTCCCCAGAAACAGAAACAGACCCCTTCCTAACCCCATTCCCCGCACCAACCTTATAAAGCACGCTCTTCTCCCTCTCCCGCACCCTCTCAATCCTCTTCTCGACCATCCGCCGCTGCACACCAACAGCGTGCTCCAACCCGCGCCGTAGGAACCAAAGCACGCTCTCGCGGATCGTCGCTATCGACCGCGCGCTCTCCTCGGCGCGCACCTGCTCCGCGGATTTGCCCTCGTCGCTGGCGCTGTCTAGCGCACCGCTTCCCCCGGCCCAGCGCCAGAGGAGTGCGCCGGCGGCTGAGTGTCCGTATTTCTTGTGCAGGAGGGTCGAGGAGGTTTCTTGGCGGAGGGTTTCGGCGGAGGAGAGGTTTGCGATTGAGGTTGCTAGGTCGCGGAGGAGGAGGGCGGTTGATGTGTCGACTGCGTCGCGTTCGGCGTCTGTGAGGTTTGTTGAGGGGGTTGGGGTTGCATTTTTGGGGTTGGTGTTGGTGTTTGGGGTTGGGTTTGGGTTGCGGCGGTGTGGTTGTGTTGTTGAGAGGTAGGCGTGGCGGATTGATTGGAGGTATTGGAGGAGAGAGTGGATGTGGGAGTTCTGGGTGGTACTTTTTGTTAGGTTTTGTTTTCTGGTTTGCTTTTGGTATAGTGTTAGTGAGTGAGGGTGGCTTACAATTCGGTATGCCTCCTTTAGGAACTCGTCGGCGGTTTCTGTGCAGGGTTTGGTTTGTGGGAGTGATGAGCTTTGCTTTGATAGCAGCTTGTTGAGAGTTGGTGTTAGGTCGGTCATTGTGGGAGTGGCATGGTTTGAAATGTGTTGTTGCTATACAACTGTACACTTGTCGATCAACATTCAACGTCACTGCGCGGGTGGTCTATCCCGCGTGCTGTATTTGTTTATACGAGTGACTGTTCATAAGTTTTAACACCCCCTAGCCCCACACCCCCTAGATTATGTAATATTCTGCCGGTCCAAAACTCCATGAAAACTATCTACTACTAATATGGCGTATACAACCCCTGGCTCTCAATGATAGCCTGCACTCGGTGAGGCATTGTCTCAGAGAGGTGCTTTAGGTACTCTAGACCAACCCTTTCCCATGCTTGCTGCGCAGTTTCCACCAAAATAGCCTTCGTTTAGTCGTTGTTCCTCATATGAATAAGATCGGGTCGAAGCTTATAGATTTCAGCTTTCAATAACGCCCAGAGATTCTCAATTGGGTTTAAATCAGGCGAGTGTGGAGGCCAATCCATAACCTCAATATTCATATCTCGCAGAGCATCCCGGATAATGTGGACAGTGTACGTCGGAGCGTTATTATGTTGAAAAATACTACCCTCATTTAATACTAAAATACGTAGGATTCGAAGGTAAAGATCCCGGATAACAAAGCGATTCATACCTCTACATTGTGATTCTAGGTCTCCGAATAGTAGAATTAGCCCTATACGCCGTAAAGAGCCTAAAAAAGCAGCCCAAAATATCTACTTAACTTGCTTCCCCCGTTGTAGTAAGAGAAATGCTACCGACACGCGAAAATTGCTACCGACACGTTACCCGCTATACTACTTTAGGTAAGTCTTCCGCTGGCCGCAATTTTCGAATACAAAAGTCCATTCTCGATAAATACCAATTCTATACTCAACCGTACACTTATCAGACCAGAAGACACGGGCCCAATCCTCAGGCGTAAAGTGCTGGTAGCGTACAGCCCATTGAAGACGTTTTAACGCATTCTCCTTGGTCAAATAGGGTCTCTAGCTATATTACCATTTCCAGAGGTTTTCAGTATTTAAAAGGCGTCGAATTGAGTTGATTTTCACTTTATAGGATACCTCAGCAAGAAGGTCTTCATAGGTAACGCGAGGGTTCTCTTTAATAGCATCAAGAAGGCGTACTTTATCGGTCTTATCAAGCTTCTTTGGTCTGCTAGAACGAGGTTTTGAAACCCCAGCATATCTTTCATACTCCTTTTTGATTGTATAGCGGATTGTAGAGATAGAAATCCACGGATATCTGCGATGAATCCGTTTATAGCCCTATTGTACAGCTGAATAGAGCTCACAGATCCTTTCCCGAAGGGCTGGGGTGAGTTCTGAGCGAGCAGGCATATGAAGAAGGAAGTAAGAAGCATATAAAGAAAGTAAGAAGCATATGAAGAAGAGAGAAAATCAGGCGATTTATACGCGTTATAGATGAATTCCCACTAGCGCGTTTTGTAGGGCGGTGTATACTATATAGGAAGGCGGTATATAGGTGGGGCTTTAGGGGGTGTTAAAACTTATGAACAGTCGCTGTATACTTCGTATTGAATTGTCTTTAGTACTGGCTTCTCTTACTCTATCACATCCATCTACAATGGAGGAGGCATCATCTCTACCACATCCATCTACAATAGAGGAGGTCCAAGCCCACATTCTACGGGTCTCTCCTGCAGGTCCAGACGGCAATGGTATAATTTCAGTTGTTCTAAATGCCAATGGCCTGTCCGACGAAGAAATGCAAAAACTTACCTCAAATTACGGCCACCCGAGCGGGTTCGTCTTCTCCGCACCAGCAGACTCCGACTTAGACTATGAGATCCGCCTCTGGCACCCAGACCACGAACTAGAGAAGTGTGCTCATGTAATGATCGGAACTGTGTGGCTACTGTCGAAGCTTGGGATGATGCCGCGGGGCGACCTCCGCATCTTGACCAAGAGCGATTGTTTGGAAGCAAAGATCACGAAGACCACCGACAAAGACAACGCCAAGGAGAGCATCTGGGTTGAGTTCTCCAACCTGGCATGTGACATGAACACTGTGAATACCGAAAACATGGATGTCATACTGTCCGATTTAAAGATTTCGAGATCTGACATTGCACCTGGAATGGTCCACAATGCTGGCACGGTCGACGATGCTGACACGGACATAATTTCAACGACACTGATTCCGATCAGATCGGTTAGGAGATTGCGTGACTTGAAGCTGGACGATGATCTCGTCAAGAAGCTTCTTGAAAGGATTCAAAGCCCCGGTTTGTGTCTGTATGCCATCGTCGACGAAATACGGCAGGAGTACGAAGTGAGGCAGGTTCCTGAACGTGATGCGTATTGGGAGGACACCACGACTGCTTTGGCTTTTGCGCTGCTGATAAATGGCTTTGTCGACAGACCTGTTGAGCCACTTAAGATCAGGGAGCCTTGCGACAACGACCGTTACCGTGAGATTAATTTGAGGTTCAGGCTTGGGGGTGGTAATGCCAGTGGCTGTTGGATTGGGGGTACAGCCGAGTTTGAAACTGAGAAGAAAGAGACTGGACAGACAAAGACCGATGCTGAATAGGATATTGAGAGACACGGGTGATTTCGGTATCCGATCTAGCGCCTTAGCAATGAATTGAAACAATCCATTATCGCCTACGGAGTAGTTCCTTACGAACCTGCACTATATAAACGCACACAACGCACATCACTGTACTTGCCCGATTAATTCTAGATCCTTGAGGAAATTCAATAATATATCATAAAGAATGACCAGGATAGGGAATTATAAGCCTAATACTAGAATGTGATATAGCATCTTGCGTATTGTAGTTGTCATCGGCACGTCCACCAGTGGCGACAACGCTGCACACTAGGACTACTTGGTCATACGATCTACACGAAGGCCAAGCATAAACTAGCCTATGATTCGTGGAACCCGCCATGTCATACCCGTATGTTCAAACACATCGTTTTATGGCAATCAGGCAGGTTTCGGATATGCCAGCCAGACGTCAGGTCACCTTTGACACAGTTTGGGGGCTTGCCTCTATTAATCTTTTAAAAGCAACTTCATCTCCTTTTCTAATATCAAATACAAAAATTCCATCTATTCATCAATTCATCAATACCAATCCATCATATGAACCTGCAAAATGGCGCCATCTCCAAACAACAATCAAGCAGCATCCACCAAGCTGTCTACCCTAAACCCAACCCCCGGCATCACGAGGTCAATTACCCCAGACTCCATATTTCGCGAAAAAGACTCCCAGGTGTCGATCATCTTTGGCAATATCACCGATGCCACCGATGCCACCAATGCTCAAATCCGCGACTACCAATGCGAAGTCAAAGCAACGCTCACAAACATCCTCAACGACGAGCGAGTGAAGCACGACCCCAGCGGAAGCCGCTATGTGCAGGAGAGACTGTTGGAAAACGAGCAAGACATGCGGAAGCAACGAAGACATTCGCTCGAAACCTGTACTGCGAAGCGGACCATGTTGTTTTAAAAGTGCCAGTCCAAAAATCAAGTTTTTCCGTTGCCACCAGGGCAAATGCCAATGACATCTCCAATCTTATGTTTCTGTCAACGAATTTCCTTTTCCTTAAGTTCAAGCTCGATTGAAAGAGAATTACATCACTATCTCTCATGCATTGGTCGTATTTTCATGCTAAATACGTAAAAAAAGGGTATAGACATAATCACGATGCTAATATCAACAGAGAAGAAATTCCAATCATGCATCAAATCATTGAGCGCTCTTCGACCCATATCTAAACGATAAAACCAGTCAGGGAATGCATTTATCAAAGATTCATAAAGTGCAGATAGACTCACCTCGATCTTCCCCATCTCACTCCCCTCCCGCCGAGCAACCTCCTTCGCCGAACTAACCAGCAAATCCAGATCTTCCTGGTCTACCATGGTAATCATGTCCCCGTCATCCTGCACCTTCATCTTCAAAGGACACCTGAAGCCGAACTTCTCACGCACGCGCTTTTCGAATTCCCCGAACTCGATCTCCGGCCCGATCATGATATACCTAGTATCATCCGGCGCGTGGACTTTCGTCCTGAATTTCTGAATCTCCGGTCTACGCGGGTTCGCGTGGCGGGAGTATCGCGCCGGAGAGCGGGTGCGGCGTTGCTGGCTTGGACCAGGGGTCGCACCGACGAGCTCGAAGCTGCCGTCGTGGAGGGTTGTTGCGTCGCATGTGTCGCTGCCGTATTCTTCCTCTTCGTCGATGTATTGCGGGGGTTGGTGGCGGGACCCGCGGCCCCAGCCTGCGTGGGCTAGGTTGCGCTGGCTTGAGTACGGGTCGTGTGGGTCGATGGGGCCGTACTCGGGTTCCGGTGGGAAGGAAGGGTTTGTGTCGCTGAGGTTTCTGCGGTGGCCGGGTTGCTCGCGGGCCATGCTGCTTCGGCTTTCCTGTGGGTAGCCGCGCACGTTTTGGCGGGAGGAGGGCCCGCGCGGCTCGGAGGCTGTGCGCGTCGTTCCTATCCGTGGTCTCTCGGTGGAGGCTTGTTCTTGTGAGTTGGATCGGCGGTCTAGGCTGGCACCTGTGCGGTCTAGGTCCAGACGTGGTGGACGGACATTTCGCAGTGATGATGATCGGTGGTGTCCGGATACTCCAGATGCTGTGCTGGCTGATCGGTCGTCTGGTGGCGGTGTTGGGGGGAATACGTTGCGGCTTAGGGGTGGTTCGGATTGTTGACGAGTACGGCTGCTAAGATTGTGGCGTACTAAGTTGGATGTGGCGAAGGGGACTTTTTCGCGGCTTTGGAGGGCTTCTTTAATGACTATTGGATTCCATTGGTGATCTGATGATTGGTTGCGGTCCGACGCAGCAACTAGTCGAGCCTTGCCTAGGTAGTCTTTTGTCTTGAGATTCTTGACTTTGGCTGCGTTGGGACGGTAGAGGACTCCCACTGGAATTGAGAAGACGGTATAGCCCTGTATTTGAATTAGCTTGTATCCAGCAATTTAGTAGAGCAACATACATCTGCATTCTCGCGAATGGCATCGTCAATCACATCGTGGTCTGGAGTAACCTTTTCCTTGGCTGCATACTCCAGGTCCTGGATGCCTGGGTTCATTTGGCGGAGGTAGATATAGCATAGACCCCGATTGAACAGGACTTCGCACGAGAACAGGCGAAATAGAAGACCTAACTGTTCATAGTCGATGGAAGTATTTCCTCGAAGATACAGCAAAGTGTCATTAAAGTTGGCCAACGCTTCTTCGAAGTCTCCGAGCAAGAAATTAGATACACCTTGCTGGAAGTAAGCGATTGCCAGATACCGGTCTAGGCCGACAGCACGCTGATAGCATTCTACCTGCACCAAATCAGTTACTGTCGGGAAAACCTCTCATGGGTTCACTTACTGCTTTATGATGCTCGCCTAGCGTTGCGTAGATCACTCCACAGTTAAACAAGATCTTTGATGTATCGGAAATCATATAGAAGCATCGCAGGGACTCTTCAAATTCCTGATTGTCATAGGCATCAAGGGCCTGCACCCATGTTTCGATTTCCTTATCGATCACAGTATCAGCATGGTTAATGTTCCGAGATCACATCCGATATACATACTTGCTTGAGCGACATTGTCCCGGAATCTGCAAAGTGTGCCTAGATGATATAGATTGAAAGACTTCGCGAGTACTTTCCATCCAACTAGGGCACGATAATATTCTCGGGTTCCGCCACTTTGTGGGCTCACCTTCCAGCGCAAAGCCGGGAAAGCGCAAGTAATATAATCGCGCCAATGGCCAAGGGCTCAGTCGGTGTGACGAAAAAAGCCTTGGAGGTGATAGAGGGGCCAAGAACAGTGCGATGGGACGAGCTGCGGGGAGAGGATTGGCTCCAGACGAGTAATCCCGTGAGGTAATGTGATATCCCAAGATTGACGTGCAAAGGCTGGATATCAGTTGCAAAGTATTTATAGATAATCACTGTAGAGTGCTATCAGATACGATTGCGAAACTAATTGGCTTAACCTCCGACGGGGTTGAGTGGAGATGAGGATGAGGGGGCGTCCCAGCGACTTGGATCCCAGAAGAATTGTAGGGTTAGCGGGATAAGGGGGAAAAAAAGAAGCGGACAAAGAAAAAAAGAGAAGAAAAGACGAATTGTAGAGAAAAATCAAAAATCCCAAAAAAGCAAAGAAAAGCCCAAATCTTAGAGAACCTGCAGATGAGGGCTGCACGGAGGGGCAGGGGGAAAGATGCGAGTCCTGGAAAAGGCTACTTCGACAGAAAAAAGCGAGGTGATGGGCCAAAAATAACCCGCTTTGCTGCAGCAATTATGCACGTCTCGGTCAATAGGAGCCCACAGAAGCGTTTTCGTACTGCCGAGCCTATGAGTGGGCGGATTTTCGA